CGATTCCGTTCATTCTTTGCATGTGCCTAGTACTTTATGTGGGACATATGCACAGGCAGTGGTTTAGAGATTCGATTCAAAATGGCCGACTGGCAGCCATCTTGTTTTTCGAAAATAATGTATTTTGGACATGCTTTGGCAGTTTTCTTTCAAACTTGGTACATAGATTATACATGTTAGGATACATGTCCATGACGATTTATTTCACAATTGGATCAAAGATGGCCGACTGGCAGCCATCTTGTTTTTTGAAAATGTCATATTTTGGACATGCTTTGTCAGTTTTCATTCAAATTTAGTACATAGATCATACATGTTAAGATACATGTCCCCGGCCGGCCGTGAGTTCCTGAGTCTGTCCGTCCGTCCGTCCGTCCGTCCGTCCGTCCGTCCGTACGTCCGTCCGTACGTCCGTCAGTCAGTCAGTCAGTCAGTCAGTCAGTCTGTCTGTCCAGAGTCATATTTCAGAATCCTGTGGTCCGATTTCGTTCATTCGTTGCATGTGCCTACACCTTATGTGGGACATATGCACATGCAGTGGTTTAGCAATTCGATTCAAAATGGCTGACTAGCAGCCATCTTGTTTTTTGAAAATGTTGTATTTTGGACATGCTTTGTCAGTTGTCATTCAAACTTGGTACATAGATTATACATGTTCGGCTACATGTTCATGACGATTTATTTCGCAATGGTCAACTGGCAGGCATCTTGTTTTTTGTTTTTTTTATGCGGTATCTCTTTATGCGTGCTCTGTCAGTTTTCATTCAAGTTTGGCACATACATGTACTTTATACATGTTAGGATGCATGTCCATGACAATTTTGTTTCAAAATCTGGTCAAGGATGGCCGATTGACAGCCATCTGACTTTTTGGCCTTACTACTATATTTCCACAATTTATGTACCATTTTCATTCGTATTTGGCACATACATCATACATATCAGTGTGTTTCATAATCAGATCAAAGATGGCTGAATAACGGCTGTTTTTATTTTGGCCATATTACTATGACACGAAACACATGTTTTGATGTAAATAAACAATCTGTTGTATACGCCACTTGGAACTCAAGTTTCAAGAACAGGCTCGCGACAACCCCTCTGCTTTAATATGATGAGCACAAAGAGAACTTTCCAAAATTTAACCGGGACTGTGTCATTTTCAATGACTTGTGTTTTAATGAATGAGTTTCCAGACCCATATGTCTGACTTTTTTTGTCTGATTATGTTCAAATTTTTAATATTTATTATACATCATGTCATAGATATACGAATATATTGGTTTGACGATCCTTTTCGAAGTGGCCAAATGGTGGCTATTTTTGTGCTAAAGAAATTATCAAATATCAAGCATTTCTTGCATTTATGGATGGATTTTGTTCAAACTTATAACATACATTAGACATTACAGGTTCCTGATGCATGTCATTTTATTTTTCAGATTGGATTAAAAATTGCTGACTAGCGGCCATTTTGTTTTAATGATTGGGCTTCTAGAGCCATATCTCTTAAATGCTTTGACTGATTATATTCAAATTTTATATATTCGCTATACATCATGTACATCACTCGACAGCACTGTGTGAATTAAACATAAAGCTCCTGATGAGTGAGGTACTTGTACCTTACGAAACAGTGCTGTCGAGTTTCAATATTCATGTAGTTGTGTATTAATTCCTCTATTACCGCATATATATATATATATATATATATATATATATATATATATATATATATATATATATGTATATATATGTATTTAAAATGGCTGATTTTGAATGCTGTTTCAGAGCAATATCTCTCAATATGGACAAGTACATGTACTTGTTTGGCGATCAGATACAAATGTCAATCATTTTAATGTTAAAAAAATCATATTCCTGACATGGTTATATTCCAGCTATATTACTATAAACAAAACTAAATATGTTAAATTTGATAACTAACGGGCACTGTGCCATGCATGGCTTGTTTGAATTTGTTATTAATTAGAGAATAAAGGACGACACACTGCCTGTCGCGCGCAGTTATCTAACATGAACAAATTTTACTTTCTGTATGATGTTCTCCAAGCTAGTTGTAATTTCAGACATTGTTTTGATAACCACGAGTTGAGTCCTGAGAGACTAGATCGGTTTCTGTAGCAACCGTGACGCTATATCCAAACGTTCGCTACATTGTTTCCCATTGCGTTCTCGTGGTACTTGTCTGTTTACCGCCCAAAATTCCCACCAAAGTTCTGCCTCGTGTCACTCCTAATATGGAATGACAGCGCTATGTTTCGTTTGTATGCGCCAATCATTAGCGTTGTTTTATTTTCGGAACGTTTTTGGCATGATATATTCTAGAGTACAAACACGTGTTTGGTACTTCTCCGATTAGCTGTCACCGAGACAA